CAAGCAATGCTAAACTGCATTGAATTGCGACGCTGAGTGTTACGAGTTCGAATTCCACCGAACAATGTGTGTATTTGCCTTTGTGCAGTTTATGTATGTAAACTACGACCACGATACAGAAGTAAATTTTAGTGGGCTAATCTTACTCTTATATATTTACTTATATCTCATATATATATATATATATATATATATATAATATATATTATGTAACATCATAAAACGTCTAACGGAATTCTTGTAAAACTTAAGCTACTGCCCTCATGATCTATTCGATCACTAAGCCACACGGGCACGACCCACTATCATCACAGAAGCAATGAATCATGAATAAAAAATATGGTAAGGGTGGTATTTCTGTTATAAGGGATTCAATACAAATATGTAAAGTATTTAGGGAGTAATAATTTTTTTACAGTTTCAAAAATAAATAAATATTAACTAAATTTAAATGTACATTTGTCAGACCATTATTATAAAGCCGAAAATGTAGACCCAAAAGTTAATTAGTAAGCTGAAATAAATTCTATCCCAAAAAAAATTACATGTACATACGTACACCGGTGATTAAGACAATCGTTTGAGTTCTAACCTGGACGGACGCAATCAATTTTGCTAACTGGTTAATTACATATCTGTGGTAAAATCGTAGAAAGCGTTATCCAATATTGAGCTAGCGCAAAAAACAATATGCCGTATTTTTACAAAACGTTGTTTGTAGAGAGTCTGTGGCTTAAATTATAGTTTACGATGGTTTAAAAAGAGTCCTACTCACGAGAGAAGTCCTTAGGTGCCTACAATCTTTGAGAAAATTGACATTTGCTGAAAAATTCCATACTTTACATTATAGTCCTCATAACTCCATGGCACTTCTTTTATGAAAGAGATTGTAGTTTAAACCTGAGACTAACAAATTTTTTTATAATAATAGAGATTTGCTGCATGCCAGCAGTCATAATGGCGGGCAGCATGGCTCTAGTACGTATAAAAACATAAACATTTTAATATATTAATACCTAATACGTTTTGGAATAGTTATTAGTAAAACTTATTTATTTTTAAATATCTAAAACCCGGTTCACTACATGGAAATTATGTACACCGGTTGGGAATAGAAAAATTAAACAAAAACATTAATCGTCGTATTTTTTAAACATATTTTTTTTTCATTTATTGTGCAAAATAAGTTTCTTTCTTCTTAGTACCTAATTATTCATATTATAAAATATTGAGCTTATACAACCTTGTTATTAGTCTTCACTTTAATTAAGTAATCATAGCATTTAAGAAATAAATATTTAAGTTAAAATACTATAGTTTATACTACCTTTTACCATATACTAATATTTTCTTTGTATATTAATAGGCTTGTACATACATTCTTTAATTTTCTCTACAATCCCTCTCTGATTCATAAAGGCATGTTCTTTACACACATTTGTTAAATATAATTAAGGATGTGATATTTGAAGAGGTTTTAAAAGCATTTCTTAGAAATTGAAATAGAATTTAATTGAAATTGAAACGGATTACGTTTCACATCCATTTGTTGTCAGGGTTGTTGTCTATTATCGCCACCAAATAACTCAGTTACCATCACTGAGATTATAATAATAATATAAAGGGGAAAGATAAAGATTATATAATATAAAGGGCATTATATTACTTTTTTGATAAAATTTACAAAAATAATTTCTGAGAAAATTGCTTTTCGTGTTTCAATTGACAAACATACAACTAATGATTTCTTATATTTACGCGAACACTATACATGATTAAAACTACTTTTACGGATTTTATCGCGTTTATTTTTTAAAGCATAAAATGTTTGAGCATAATATTTAATAGCAATACATGGAGAAGGAGTGACTCTTTATGATGAACTCTTTGTTTCAGATGTGGCCCCATAGAAAGTGGAATTGATACAGGCTCGACGGTTTTACGAAAATTAAGATTGCTGACATAGATTAATAATATAATAATAATAATAATCATTTATTCAAATAAAAGTACAATAATAGAGTGAAGACTCTGATTCCCAAACTAGACAAGTCTGTATCTTAGGAATCAGTGGCCTCTCCCAGTGTTGTGACAACAGTATTTTAGTCTTAACAATTAATTAAGTAACTAAGCTTTACATTTTTAAGTAATTGTTTAGCTAATTGAATGTATTTATTTACAACGAAACATATACTTTAACTTAATGCGACTCTTTAGTCGTTATTATATTTCATATAATCGTAGGTATATTAAAATTAGTTTGCAATTTGCAATATATATACATATACATACACACACGTATATACATATACATACACACACATATATATATATACATAGAATATATAGAATATATTATTATATAATTTCATACAGAATATATATTTTATTCATTATAACCTATAATGAATAAATAGATGCTTTAAACAAAGATTGCTATTTTTAATTTCATAATTTTAAAATTTTATAATTTTATTATACTTTTATTATACGACATACATTACTACATGTTAACAAATTATATTTTCTGTTTTACTATAATCAAGTGACAATAACCAATCTCGAACTTTAACTTTACATTCATGTCTGGAAAGAGGATGAAAATTTAGATTTCTATTTAATTTATTATAAAGCACTGAGGATCGATATGAACTTTGTCGCCTAGAAAAAGCAGTTTGACATCTGCCAATAATCATTACATCCGGTATTCTGCGTTTATTACGACAGATCTCAGGGTTATAAGGAGTTAGAGCATGTTTCATTAAGATCAGTTGTTGGATATACAATTGCCTAACAGTCAACAGTTTGCATTCTTGGTAAAGCAGATTTGTAGGATACCTGAACGGTTTAAAAGTCATAGTTTTTAGGAGACATCTTTGAGCTCTTTCTAATTTTATCATAAATGTTTTGCATGCTCCACCCCAGGCAACTATACAATAACCTATAATTGATTGTGCTAAGGCGTAGTATACAGTTCTCAATAAATCAAAGTCAGCGATGTGCCTTAGCCTTTTAAATGTCCAAATAAGAATCCTAGTGCGCGATGAAATAAGGTCTATGTGTGGGAGCCAGCTTAGTTTCTCGTCTATAATTACTCCGAGATATTTAATTGATTTGGATTTCGTCATTTTAGGGCAAAGGCAAGTATCTGTTGACTGTAAACCACAAGAGTGTACCGTTAGTTGTATATCGTTAACAGTTTGGGTGTTGGTTATATGGAACTGCATATAGGTGGACTTTGATATATTAAGAGTCAGTAGATTCTCCTCAAGCCATTTTGCCACAGATTGAAGACCCCTCATCGCAAACTCCTGGACCTCAGGCCAAGTCTCTCCGTAGAAAATTAAGGCTGTATCATCAGCATAAGTAAATAGCTTGCCTTGAGTTAGTGTCATTGAGCACAGGTCGTTGATGTAAATTAAGAAGAGACTTGGTCCCAGGATACTGCCCTGAGGGACTCCAAATGTGACACAGGCGTCTGAGCTAATATTTTTTTTTTATTTTTACTCTCTGCACACGGTCATATAAAAAATCCTTAAAAATGGAAAGGGCAGAATCTCTTATTCCAATTTTTTTCTAGTTTGTTTACAAGAATGGGTATCGAAACGGTGTCGAAAGCTTTGGCTAAATCTAAGAAAATCCCTACACACTTCTGTTTTTGGTCCAGTTTATTTGTTACAAATTCGGTCAAGTTACGAACAGCATCTTCTGTACTAACACCCGCTCTGAATCCGAACTGCATATTAGATAAGATATTATATTTGTTTAGAAATTTAACCAAACGATTATTAAGCATCCTTTCTAAGATTTTTGAAAGTGCAGGTAGCACAGAGATCGGCCGGTAATTTTCAACAACGTCCCGAGCCCCATTCTTGTAAACAGGAGTAATGAGAGATCTTTTAAAAACTTTTGGAAAGCATCCTTGTTCAAAACAGATTTTAAAAAGGGTTGTGAGTGGCAGAAGTATTTTATCCTTGGTCATTTTAAGGAAGCAAGCAGGAATGGAATCCCAACCAATAGCACAATCATTTCTAAGACCCATCAATATTGTTTCTACTTCTAACTCGTCAGGAGAATCGAGCACAAATGAATTAAGCGACCAGGGTATAGTATTAACATTAGCAGGTTTAGCACCGTTTGCTAGAATTTTATCAGCTAATTTTCTACCCAAAGTTGAAAAATAGTAATTAGCTCTCTCCACTGAGTCTATAGGATTTTTAATGATCAAATTTTCAGCGTAGTTATTTTTAGTATCACATCCGGAGATGGCTTTGATTGCAGACCAAGTTTCTTTACTGTTCTTTGCATTTGCCAAAAGACTGATAGATAGATTGTCAACAGTAGGTAAGTAAAAAAGTAAACAATTAAGTATAAGTTATTAGAGGGATGTTGCTACCCATCTCTCGGCTTTCCCATGGCATCTTGATACAATGAAGACAGGAGGAACAGGTCCGTCGTTTGGAAGGGCAGCTCAAACGGGATAGGGAAGAGCAGATGCTCCTCATGAAGGACATGCACGCTACCTTCGGAAAAGAGATACGGGAGGTGAAGGATAAGGTTGCTCAACATGACAACCGCCTGTCGGAAGCTGAAACCCTAATCGACCAAGTAAACAATCGGGTTCTTGTTTCTCTTACGACACCCACTTGAAGATATGAGGTAGTGGGTAGTGACCAAACATCATTAGTTGCTTACAAATCAGCACGAAAATAACCTTAATTTCCTGTTCTCCAATGCTTTGCTTTGCAATGCTTTCAAAAATGAATCTTTATTGTTCCCATATTTAAAATTGTATTGCTTAGAACTTTATTAAAAAATATTTGTAAATTTGTTTTTCAAATGAAAGGAAATTATTGTAGCCAAACTTTTTTTTACAAAAAAATAATTGTTATATTTTGCTGAATGACATTCTTAGTATACTATTGCGTAACAAAAATACGGAGAGATATTCAGTGCTTACAAGTGCCTCGCTCATAGTTGGACAGTGCAATATGAAGAACATGAAGGTACTTCAAATATGTTTAATTATACAAATTTTCAAGTTGAAAGGTAATTTTCAAGTTTTTATTAAATATTTTATTATAGAGCTTAGTTAAACGCCTAAAAGAATAACTGAAATTAACCGAGTAATGTGTCTAAATGAATTAGGTTCCGATCATAAGCCAATTTTGGCCAAAGCTGACGTTTTAACTGTGCTAAAACTTACTTTTAAACTTTGCGAATTCTGTAATAAACATTACTTATTAAAAATAAATAATTTTAAAAGTATATTCTGCGTGTGCCATATATTGGGAGCATAAGACGATCTATAATTCTTTTTGTTTCAAGGGATTTGTAGGAGGCGATTATGGTAAACACAGGAAAAATCGTAAGATCGTAAGATAATCGTTTCGAACGATAGCGGATAAACGCCTCGTTTACACTCAATTACCAATCCGCCTACCCTAATAAAACAATTCCTATCTACACCTGAAGAGGCCTATGTGAAGGAATTTACAGTCAGTGATGATAAGTGGCTACCAAAAATACCCAACGAAGAATACAAAAGATGCGTTGTCACGTCAAAGACGTGTTGTGTTTAAGGATTGACATGGAATGCCTCAATGCATGTAATATTTTATAAGAAATGAAGGAAAAATTTTGACTTAAACTTATCGTCATCTTCTTCTTGATAATTTCAAAGGCAGGGCGCGGACCACGAACTCAAAAAGTCGTAGGTTCGAATCCGCCATTCGACTATTGGCGTGAACCACTCGTAACACAAGCAATTTAAGCTTACCACGATTGGTTAAGGGGAATATTAGTGTTATGTTATGTTTATAGCATTGTTAATATCCTTTATTAAAAAAATAATAAATTGATTCATAAAAGAATTTCGACTTGGACGCTACGCTTTGTAGATGGGATTGGCAATCGTAGTTTTTATTTCTTTCAGTTTTTATCAGGAAAAAGCTGCTGCTTCCTTTGTCGTCGATTTGCTAGTAGCTTTGTAGCGCGTCAATCTGTTTGTAATATTTACCTTACAAACGGACCGCGCGCGTGGAACATTGACGCCAGGTATTCTCCGTCGCTGGTCTGGATATTTAACGTCTGGTGTAAATGAGATCATAATACCGTTATTTATCGGATGCAATAAAATTCCATATTAAGATATTCCTGCACTTTTCATAGTCGCCTGTTACGTCACCCACGGACGAAATTGAGTGATGGATTCTCATAAGCCGATGTATAATTGTCTTTTTTAAAGGTTTACTTTATTTCAATAAGCAATTTTTCATCTAAGACTCTTTATTGTGTTCATTAAGCAAACTTGTGAGTGAATTTTCCCATTGCGGGTCGGTTCTCACTGAATCAAAAGCATGAAATCATCTTATGTTTTATAGGTTCAAAATTGGTGTTATAAGCATTAGACGCATTTTGTAGCATATAACAAAAGCATTCAGAAACAAATACCCTTATAATATATATAGCACACGTATTATATAGTTAAGGGAAGAAAATAAGGTGAGAAACGTATTCATTTATTTGTTAATACGTGAAGGAAAAACTTTGTACACCTTTTTAAGCATATTGCGCACGGAGCGGTGTGGGAATTGCATAGATAAAGTTTATAGAGTACCTATGTATGAAGAAGATGTGCAGAAAGCTACAACAATACATAATATAATATGTTACAAATACTCGTACATTAAATTAAATAAACCCATAAGTCCATTGTTTCCGTTCATAGCGCCAAAGTCTCAGATTAAGTACAAGCTTACGTATATTATTACTCTAAAGCCAATACCAAACGCGAATAGTCTGTCATCAAACAGTAACACAAAGCAGAGATTGTCGCCAAAGAATTGTGTAATTTTCCAATTTTGTGTGATTTCAAGTGTTCCTTTTTTCAAAAGAGTGTGGAGTGTATGTCAAGACTAAAACTCGTTTATTTTCTATTTTGTATATTAGACAGCTATACAGTTGAAAGTAAAATACAGCTTGCTTATTACACTTATTATAATTCACTTTACGATAATCATTTATTATTAAACACTACTTTGTCAAATTTCCGTTTAGCGTTACAGGCCATTATACCGGAATGCAATTTAAATCCTTGCGAAGTGTTAGAAATGCTAACTTTAGGACGTCGTACAGGAGATCCAAAGAATATCGGATTATGCACAAATGACATGCAATGGAGGCGATTAGATCGACGACTGCGCGCTATGGAGCAACCTGGTAAGATATTTTATACTAATAAAATGCCCTCGCAATACCTCTACAGTTTCGGTTCTACGGCTATTTTAAATGATATTGCAGATTTGGAAGTAGTAGCAAAAAATTATGTTAAAATTATTTAATAAAGATGTAAGCCTACCACTAAATGTCTACACAGACAAATATTTTGAGAACCGATAAGACACTTGGGCTGGAAGCAAAGCTCCGCTGTAATATTTTAAGCTATTTTAATCTAAAATGGTAAAGCTTAGAAATTTTCAATTCTCATTAGATCTTAATGGACGCCGAGTAGTTTGTAAAGATAAAATAAACATTGATCTAAAATTCTCTTTCATAAATTAGTCTTTCATACATTATCAGAAGTGAAACCTGTACACATTTCAAACTGAGCTTGTGATGGTCAATTTTACTTTATTATTCATTAAATGTCCTTAACCAACAGTTAAAGTGTCGACAACGATGAATGAATATTTTATACGTGGTAGAGTCATGCTGCAGTTATATTAGTAGTATAGTTGTAGCACGAATGGGTCGGCTCGACCGGAGAAGGACCACGCTCTCACAGAATACCAGCGTAAAATAGTAGCTTAATGATGCTGTGTTTCGTATGGTGAGTATAAAGAACCAGAGACCTTTCTACTGGAAAAGAGTAAAAAGGTCTCTGGTTCTTTCTCGTTCTCCTCTCGGGTGACAACGCATATGTATTTTGATTTGTAATCGAGGATAGATGGAGATGTTTATGGCCCGCAACAACCACTTACCATCAGGTGGACTGTGTACTTGTTTGTCACCATATCGTATAAAAAAAATTATATAAAAAGCTTAATACGCACAATTTTTCACGATGCACCACGGTTACCACGCCATAAGTTACCGACTTCATTAAAAAGTAAACCTGATTTACAATCGATAAAATTACAAATCATCTAAATTCAATCAGGCAACTAGCAACTACCTAACTTTGAACTGTAAGTCTTTTTTACACTTAATTTATGTTATTACAAACTTAATAATACCAATGCCAAGGTCGTGAAAATTCATTTCCTATATTTAAATGTATGACTCGATGCTTGCAGAAAGCACATAATATAGATTTAATTTAATTTTCAAGCATGGACAATAAGTTTAGGCCAGTCCCGTTGGCGCCAGTGTGCAAAAAGTGTATGCCGATGTGATGCAGTACATCGATCATTAAATTGCTGGCGTGCTGGAATAACGGTGCTGACTCCTGACATAATCATACCTGCCGATCTGCACACTATGTACGTACATGTGTATTCTATTAGTTAGTATAAAGATTTAAATTATATCTATACATAAAAATGTGACATTATTATCTTACGAAAAGTTTTTTCTATTTAAGCGTAGATATTAACGTAGTCCAGTATGTTATATCACTAAACCGGATTAATTACGGTGTATGAGACATTAAATCTGATTTCATAGCAGTAATGGACGCCACACACGGTTAGTTCAACTGATCATTCTAACTGATCAGTTCAAACTAAAACTGTTTTAAATATTATAAATATATCTATATCGGAGTTTTATATATAAGTTTATTTATCGATATATCGAAAATCCAATATTTAAAAAAATATCAACAGTTTTAGTTTGAACTGATCAGTTGTACTGACCGTGTGTGGCGACAATAATAGTAATGTAACTGTATAGCTATGTATTATACCAGTACAATCAGTGCTTTACCAGTGATGACTGACGATACATGCATCTGACGCGTGGCCCTTCACTGCTGGCCGTATGTGTAAACTAGGGTTTGCTATGTCCAACTGATTGGTCAGCCATGTAGCTTGAAGAATCAGCAACCGATGGGGTAGTAAGAATCTCGAGTAATAGCCTAGTACTGGTAACTGAAATTCATGACGGCCGTACTGGCTCATGACCGTGTTTTGTGGAATTCCTTGGTGAAAACCTGTGATCAGCAAAGACTTGTAAAGGGTTGTAATGATGAAATGTAAAAATAAATAATAACGCTGAGGATATAAATTAAATAAAAATGGAAGCTCAAGGATGTAAGTGTTATTTAACTTTTAACCAACATTTAAGGACTAATTCGGATAAGTAAATTTTTATTTTGATTTCGAACTACTAAGCATATGCAACATAACTTGGCTTTATTTACAGTGACTTGGGCACTAATAAACTACGAACATTACACAAAACTACTTTTAAAGATATGCGGTCTCTAACGGAATTGGATATGTTCGACAACCATTTAGAATATTTACCGTCAAGCATATTTGATTCGTTGATCAACTTACGAATATTGTAAGTAAAAGTTAGATTTATGAAATTATTAATTTTTTACCGCCTACAAGCACATTCCTTATTTATGATTTAAATAGTTTATACTTCAATTTGTAAGCTTATAAATATTTTACTGATCCACGCATTCTCCTCTCAAATGTGAAAAAATGCCTTATAACCTTTTATATCCTGCACGATGAACGCCACTATACTACACTATAGACTTGGGTTTAGAATTTAAAAATATATTTTTTCGATCATCACAAATGTTTCATATTCTTACATACATTTTATTTTCAGGCGCTTGCAAAGAAATTACTTAGAAGAAATCGATAGCGAAACTTTTCGATGGGCAAAAAATCTTTTTCATGTCGATTTATCCAATAATTTGTTACATACATTGCCTGAACGCCTTTTCGCTAATAATTCATTTTTAGAAACAATAGACATTTCGAACAACCAAATAGTTTATATACCTTCTGACACTTTCATGGGATTGGAGTCGTTACTGATATTAGATCTTTCAAAAAATAAAATACAGGAAATAGAAAATTGGACTTTCCCTATGAAGAAGTTACAAGTTTTAAAATTATCAGAAAACAAAATTAGCAACATAACGGATAATGCCTTCAAAAATCTGTTTTCTTTAGAAACTTTGCTATTGTACAAAAATAAAATAAAGAAAATTCCACCAAAATTATTTTCTAATCTAAAATCCCTAACTTTTTTGGATTTATCGAACAACAATTTAATAAGCGTAAGTATATTTACCTATTTTTCCCCATACATAGTATGTGTCATAAGTTCAGTTATGCATTAAAAAGAAAATCCTCTGAAAAACCGTCTTATTTATAAATTTTCTATAAATAAATTTATTTATACGCTTTTTACATGTGACAATAGATGGTTCAAAGTTATGTTATGGCTTAGTCCGATGGAATAAAACCGCCTTTAGCCTTTACTACAAGCTTGAGTCTCTTCCTGAACGAAGCGCACGCTGCTCGAACGACGTCATCAATTAAAAAATTCCATTCTCGCGTAATACTAGCTTTGAGCGCTTCCACTGACGTGTGTTTTGTAGCACAAGCCTTGGTCTGTAAAACACCCCAAATATAAAAGTCTAGCGGATTCAAGTCGGGTGATGACGACGGCCACATATCTCGGTCGATCAGCACTGGATCGTTCGCTTTCAACCAATTTTGCGTTCCAATTGCTCTGTGCGATGGTACCGAGTCTTGCTGGAAAGTCCAACGCTCAGAACCGAACGTTTTACGTGCCCACGGTATCAGCCCAGGTTATATTAAGACTTTGTCTCGATAGATTTGCTGATTTATTTTGACTTGGTTGCGATTTATTGGGAGAAAAACGAGCGGTGAACGGCCTTTTTCGGACACCGTCGCCCAGACCATGATTTGATCGTCTCCTTGACGTCGAGTGACTTTCAGTTCGTCGGCATGGTCGCTGACACGTCCCTTCAACCATACATGGTCATTTTGTTTGTTAAGAAATTGCTCAACGCAGAAAGTTTTCTCATACGAAAACACCGAATTGGGAAGTTCGCCAGAGTCGAGCAAGCGAATCAGCTCTTTTGATCGCTCTAACCGTTTACTACGTTGCAAAGCTGTGAGTTCCTGAGAAATGTTTTTTTCAATGGTTTGACCTTAAGCTTTCTTTCAATATACGACGAACACTACGGTGGCTCACGTTTAGATGCTGCGCGAGCTGATTTGCTGAGCGCGCTGGATTTCTGTCCAATAGGTGACGTACCTTTTCGACGACTCCTGGTGCCGTTGCAGTACAACGCCGCGCCGTCCTCCACCATAGCCTTTCTTAATGCTACCAGTCTCAGAATATCGTTTGATAGTGCGACGTACAAATTTCTCATTTAGTTTAAGATTTGGCAGCGCTCGACGTATTTCGATGTTCGATTTTCCTTCCAAATACAGAGCAATCACTGAATTACGTTTTAAATCCATCGTTTTAAATTAAGAATGTTTTATCTCACAACAAAATCACATCAAACCATGAAAGAAAATATGTCAAAGAACAACATTTAAAATTTTGGCGGCGTTCGATTCAGTGGTTCGAATTTTAAAACAGTTAGATCGAGACGGATAGTTCAATTGCCGGACCGGGTATATATATATATATATATATATATATATATATATATATATATATATATATATTATCCTGATGCCCTGCGAAGTGACAAGATCAAAAATGCCTACTAAATTTATTGTGAGGTTTTTATGAATGATCGCTAAACGTTAATAAAAATCGTCTGTTAATAAAGTATATATATATATATATATATATCTTTTCTAGGCTAAAACTACAAAGTAGGACAGGTGGAAATATTTGACATGCTATTTTATCCACACAATATCTTTACATTCTATGTCTAAGTTAACTTAACTTTGTTCCTTTCATAAGCTCTGTATATAACGCTAAGCTGACGAGAATGAATAGCTGACATGACACACAATTTTGTATATAAATTTACAAAACGATTACTACATAGAAAAATATTTTTCTTGTTTATAATCTGTTTTTCTGGTAAACATTAAAATAACTACTCGAAAATCGTTCATATAGATAAAATTAAGTTTACGTTTGCTTGAAATAACGTACAATACACTATTATGAAGTATATAGTACAATACATTATTTTAATTATAAAGTACGGGTATCAACCCTATCTGTTAAGAGCACAATAATTATGTGTCTTTCGCCAGCGTATCGGGATAGCAAGTATTTTATTCGATCTGACTCGACTGATTTATGGCATATCCTGTATATCGACGGTGAGCACTAATTCCCTAGAGTGTCTTAGCAGGACTCATCATTTCACACGATAATATTTTTGGATTGTTAGTATTTGTTGTTTCGTCAAATTTTGGCTTTGGCAGCGTTCACATTGCATCTAGTCCTAGCAGCACGAGGTTGCCTCTATACCTTTTATGGTCTTAAACAGAGAAATGTTGGAGTACCAGTCGATAGTGCGATATACAAACATACGGCTCATGTTTTAGCATTTGAAACATCTTAAAATAAGTGGCGGCTTCATACTAACTTTGTGCCCTACTTCATAATCTAATGTGTAATGATGGAAAAAATTTCACATAATGATGGTAAATCAATCGAAGTTTATCACATAATATATGCATCCCTTTATGTGATTAATGCTGAAAAGGAGGACTTATTAAATTGTAACAGAACCCATGGTCGTAATGACCTCGGATACTGGTTATAATAATCGGGGGTTTTAATCATTTCTATTTTTACCAAATACTACATTTAAACGGAAATAACTTAGTTTACAGGACTTGAATTTCAAAACCTACATCTACTACGTAATTTGGATTTGAAGGAAAATTTCTTGACGCAAATACCTAACAACACGTTCGCTAACTGCACTAACTTGGAGACCCTTGACTTATCAAAAAATAAATTAAGGTTTCTTAATGCCTCTACGTTTCGAGGGTTAGAAAAACTAATTTCACTTGTACTGTCTGAAAACCAGCTCTATGAAGTTCACTTCAAGACATTTTCAACGTTAAAGAATCTAACAACATTGTAAGTTGAAGTACAATAATAATTTTTCTCAATTATAATAAAATAAATATTCTCAATAAATATCTGAACTTGAAATTCACTTTAAAAATGTCTTGTTGAGAAAATCAATTTTAATACATTTTACAGGTATATAGACAACAATATGTTTCCCTCGTTACCGTCGCGTACTTTGGATTATATGCCAAAGCTAGAAAATGTGAAACTATCAAATAACCCTTGGCACTGCGACTGTCACACCCTGTACATATCAGCGTAAGTTCAAAACAGAAACAACTTCTATATAAAAATATAAGTAACGCTTAATATTTCTCTTCAAATATACTTGAAATACAATAGTTGTTAGGGAGTGATTTAGGTACGAAAGTTATTGTCGAATGGCGAATTCTAACTTATGACCTTTTAGTTACTCAGTCATTTATTTCAATGTAATTGAATAATAATATATTCTAGAGCAAATTAATATAAATATTAATAGCTTGCCAGGCAGACGTTGTTCTGCCCTTTTTGACGACCCTTTGTCATGTCCTATTAAAAATCCTTAAATTCGCAAAAAAAAAATCTGGGTCACTTATGGGTATAAAAACTATCCTATTTCTCAAGTTGGACCAAACTGCACACGGTGTGCAATTTTGATTAAGATCAGTTAAGTAGTTTAGGAGTCCATCGCGGACAAACAACGTGACGCGTAATTTAGGTATATATATTAAAATGTTAAATTGGACATATGTCAATCCTGAATGATTCGTTCGTTTGAGCTGAAAGTACAATTAAATTTCGTCTGTTTTTGAATGTTCCGGTACAACCAATCACAAACAATTGACGGAACCTTTTAACTCGTGATTGATGTGAATTGTAAATGAGTCGAAAACCGACCGAATCCCGAATGATCTGAATGAATTGTTTTAAGTGTAGGGTATCGGAGTCCGAAATGATCAATATGAATGACCGACCCGAATGTGTCAGTATGCGTAACGAAATGTACTACTTCGGTCACGAGAAATGAATGAGTGACACATGTCTATATTACATTATCGTCTGAAGCGTTGTACCATACCGTTACCATTACCGTTACATCCCATTTTGGTCCACTGATGAAAATGGGCCTTCCCATAGATTGCCTAATAGGGGGACAGCCACAGTTTTTTTATTTGTTATTAGACGCTGCTGCTTATCTCCAGATTTGTTTCCCTCTGTCGCCTCTTACGGTCTATACGAGGTAGTGGAGACAGTTAATGTCTACATCATCATCAAGGCTTTTATGTCCTCTGCTAAACAAATGTTCATTGGCCTATGCTTATCATGCATGAGTGAAGAGCGTTACACTGGTATTGCCGCTTCTTACCTGCTTAACTTTAAAAATATAAAAATTTATTCCTACAATTTTGTTTAAAAACTGCTATAACTTTTCAACCATTTAGGATTTATTATTAAATTACAAAAACAAAACAAAAACCGTTTTCTGGTGTTATATTTGTATGGACAACAATCACTCTTATTAAATTTCGTCTAATGTATTTTATTTAATTTTATTATCACACTTAGAATTCAAATGTCTATATGTGCTTTCAGTTGGGTGCGCTTAAACGAAATGAAAATTTGGGACTATTCTCCAACATGTGTATCACCGTGGTATCTCGAAGGTCACTTTCTGAAAAAGCTTAAATTTCCTGAACTGTGTTCGGGACAATGGGCAAGCATGGTTAACCTATCGCCCCGTCTTCCCATGCAACAACTTTTGGCTCTTAATGTCACCGTTAATCGGAAACCACAAAGAATGGAGGATGATGAAGATGTAACTTCTGATGATCAATGGAAATAATTTTAAACATTAAAATTATAATCTTATGTTTGTGTTTATAAAACATTTTATGTAACCAGAATTAAATGTATGTAAATAAAATATATACCTATAAACACTGGCTTCTATTAAGCTCACGGGGTTATTTTCAGGTTAGTAAGGCATAAATAACTATTTTCAAATGTGTTTTCTCTCCGGCCTAATCTTCGGAATTGGTGAACTGAATGTGATGAAACTTTACAAACAGAGGGAGTAATGCTAGAGGGAATAGTGGCTAATTTTACCCGTAAAACTCGTATATTTAAAAAATAAAATAAAATAAACGGTCTTAAATCTAAACATTCTATCATGACAAAGCGAAGCCGGGGGAGGGGTTTGCTATCATTTAAATAAATTAGCCAGTATTAGCGACAGTGTAGAACAAATAGCCATGCCATGTAGCTCACAAGCTGTATAAGCTTCTATATATAAGCGCTCCTGTAGCGTATTTCTCAGCTAATAGGTCCAGAATTAATGCTTTAAATTGGTTAATTAGAGCTGATAAAAGAGAAGTTACTTCACCGGTATTTTTGCTAGAGATGGGCCGAATATGGATTTCACCGAATACGAATATTCGGCCGAAAGTTCGGTAAAACATTGACCGAACCGAACATTATTCTTTCACTATTTGATACTTGTTTTTTGACTATTTATGTGAGAAAATATTAATACTTTTTTTATACGGGGTAGAGCCATGCTGCAGTTATATTAGTAGTATACTTGTAGCACGAATACGTCGGCTCGACCGGGGAAGGACCACGCTCTCACAGAATATCAGCGTGAAATAGTAGCTTAATACTGCTGTATTGCGTATGGTGAGTGTAGAAAACCGGAGACCCTTTTTACTGGAAATTAGGCATTCCATCTCAGTCCTCACGTATGAAAACGTATCTGCATTTTGTTTTGTAATAGAGGATAGATGTAGATGTCTATGGGCCGCAGCAACCACTTACCATCAGGTGGACTGTGTGCTCGTTTGTCACCCTATTCTATAAAAAAAAAAAACTTTATTTCGTTGTGCTATTCTGAGTGAAAGTAGATAATCATATGATAAAAATGAGTGGCAGGAGATCTACTACTTGGACTTATTTTTGAGAAACTGACTACCAAAGTAAAGTGAAATGTACTAATAATAATAATAATTGGTTGAATGTTTCGTTGTTTAGTTCCAAAAACATTTAATCAAGATTTCTATTTGCTATAATTGGAAATAAATATACAATGCCCCAGAAATATAACGGTATACAAGTAGATTTAATCCACAAATAAAATATACTTTCAAGAGGAAAATTATGAAAGACATGGCATTACTCAATTCGTACATTTCAATACAGTGGACACTTTAAATACCACTTGAACGAATGTGCGGTGATTGAGCCGAATATTTGGCGTAATACGAATATTCGGTAAAGCTACTAAATATGCCGAATACTGAATATGAAACGAATATTCGGCCCATCTCTAATTTTTACTGGTGTGGTTTAAGTACATACAAGAGTATTATACGAACTTAGAGCGTTTCTAGAGTGTTAAAATGGGTTTAGTTGCAGTTAGGAGGGAGTTATAGGGAGAGAGAGATAAATGTTGGGTGTACTCTACTCTGAAGCGTTTGCAGATATTAAACCAATACTTTAAGGATTATGACCTTGTAATACTTTATGAATCATTACAGCTAATGATCCTGTATGACCTATACGTATGTGCATGCATAGTATGTATGTATGTTAGAATGTAATGGATTATATAAATAATGTAAAAATAAAATTCAGTTTATACTTCCTTACAGACATCTGAATAAATCACAAGCTAACGTTAAGCTACTTAAGTAGCAGTTTTGTTTATGCAAGATGTAAAAAATACATGTAAAGGATGTAAAATGGATGTTTTGAGGTATTTTGAGGAAACATCGGAATACGTGATGATGTTTTTGTTAATTTTTCATAGGTCCAGTCCAGTCCGAACTGCACCCAAAGCTACGTAGTACTATTATTTATTCTATGCCACAGTTTTGAGCGCAACAGCAATAGGTTCCGTTAAAAACCTATTCTTCCTATGTCTTGCCCACCGCATTTTTTCATACCATTGAAAATGAATATAAAAAGTTTATTTTTGTTAAATTTATATAAATAAATAAATGGTCTTTGATTATCTTAAATCCAAATAACGGTCCATTAACAGATTCTGTTCAGGTGAGGCCGGGGCGCGTCACTAGTATTTTACAAAAATAAGGTACTAAATAATGTAAGTATCGTGATGTGATCTAATGACTGATTATGTTTGTGATTTAACCTGCCTATAACAATAAATTAATACCGTTACAGACTATTAAAAGTCCACCGTTAAAGATAGGCCTTCCCCTTAGATTGCCTCACTGGGGGGGGGGGGGGTACCACAGTGGCCACGCTTTGCAGGCGGATTTTTTAATAGGATATAGTAAGTGGACTCGACCCAATCAAAATGCAGATGCGTTGTCACCTATGAGGATTAGGATGGAATGCCTCTTTTCCAGTAAAAAGGGTCTCCGGTTCTCTACACTCACAATACGAAACTCAGCAGTATTAATCTGCTATTTTACGCTGGTATTCCGTGGGAGCGTGATCCTTCCCCGGTCGAGCCGACCCATTCGTGCTACAAACAGGCTACCAACATAGCTGCAGCGTGGCTCTACCAGGTGAAAAGACAACCGCAGGTTTCAATTATTTTGAGTTAATATTAGGAATATGCTACTACCCATCTCTTGTTTCATTTTAGTCTGCCACCTCCCCCATATTCATCGACAACATGCACAGCAAGGTTAAGTTGACTGGTGGAGAATGCCATCTGACGTGAAGTCCACTCTTTGTTACCCCTAATAAAGATTATAAGAACCTTATGTCAGTGTGGTGGTGCTGTAAGAGAATCTTAACCACATATGATAATATGGTGACTTTCATCATATTACCATCTCACTTACGCTAGGCATAAATTACCCAAGCCGGCGACAGTAGGCAGCATCAAAGTTGCGAAATATCTGGTTTTACCGCAATAGTCAAACCGCCTGCAAACCCCGACGATTATGGCAAATCCTCCAAAAAATGGGAATCGCCCGTGTTGACCTCTTTCGCGGGATAATGACGAAAACGATGACTTTTAAAGTCCACTGCTGAACATAGGCCTTCCGTAAGAGGGTAATTATTTAAAGCAACTATTATTAAAAACTCTTAAAACCATGAATCGTAGCTATTTACACATTTACTTTTTCTACGTGGTAGGGCCACGATACAGCTATATTGTGTTTGTAGCACTAATGGGTGCGCTCGACCATAGAAAGGTCACAGCTCACAGAATACCAGCATGAAATAGCAGTATAATGGTACTGTTTCGTATGGTGAGTGTAGAGAGATTAGAGAGTAGAACTGGAGATCCTTTTTACTGGAAACGAGGCATTACATATTAGTCTTCAGAGGTGACCACGCATCTGCATTTTAATTCGTAATCGAAGATAAATGTAGATGTATATTTTAATAACTTTGCTTTTAACCAGTTTTACACGAGCAAAGCTATTTGAGTCGGCTAGCTAGTAGAAACCGTAAATACAGGTAAATAAATTAATTATTAGACAGTTAGGAGCTTTGACGTAATATTTCACTTTACCCGTAATAAGAATGATACAGGGGTCTTTTTTTGTTTCATTAAGGACAACAAACAGTTGTATAATAAAAATTACAATTCAAATCTTATGTAAATAGATAAACTAATTACACAACCAACTCCGTTGTCCACAAAATTAGTGACCACAAAATTACTACACTAATCCAATACCTTTTAACGAGCAATTCTTGTATAGTATATCGGAATCTCGGAAACGGCTCCAACGATTTTCATGAAATTTAGTGTGCAGGGGTTTCGAGGGCAATAAATCGATCTAGCTAGGATTCATTTTTATAAAATGTCGTTTTATCCGTGTTTTCAGGCAATGAAAAACTGCTACAATATCGTTAGATTATATGGGATATCGGGCGGTTCCGAAATCGTAGTACCCTGGTTCGAGTCCTGTCTTCGGTCCTAGTTTTTTCCTTTTTTTTTCAAGTTCCCTTCTTTTTTGAGAAAATCTATTATTTTAAGTCCTTTTTTACATTCTTTTTAAAAACATGAAAATATAATGAAACTAATTGCACTTATGATTTTTTTATTCAAATAACCAGTTTAGTTTTTTCTACTATGTCGGTAAGATCAAAAAATATTATTCATGTAATTTGTATCTAAATATAATTTCCAAAACACACGATTCCAAAAAAATACCGAGCAAAGCTCGGTCATCCAGGTACTTAAAGTTATAAGACACAGAGAACACAAATATAAAATTAAAAAAAACTAGAGGCAACAATGCATACCTAACCGTTAACAGCAAAATCATGAATATTACACATGTATTTAGATTAACGTTATAAGATTATAAGAAAAAAGTAATAAAGATAAAAATAAAAATTACAAGTCATTCAATACAAGTTTTATAGCTTTACTAAATTGAGGTAGGGACATGGTAAATAGGTCTAAATCGGAGAAGCTGTTGTTATCCAGTTCCATTATGCGACGCAAAGGCGCACGCTTGCCCGCATTTGTTTTGCACATATTAAGGGAAAACAAACGATGCACGTGAGTGTTTCGTATTCTTTATTCGAGAGACTTGGTACACGAAGGTATATACAATTGACAAATTGAGAGAAATCTAAAACGTTACGACAAATTTTGTAAGGAAAAGTACAATCAAGTAGTAATCGGCTATTACTTAAAGTTGTTAAATAGTATTTATGCAAGAGGTTATCATAAGAGGACCAAGAACAGTAACATCTGTCAATAAAATTTATTATTATTATTATTGGGGGTTATTGATAGAGTAATCACATCTGGTTGGGCTGGATAAATATATAAAAGGAAAAAATTAATATACATTAATATATATTTAATATATATTTAATATACTAACATAAATAAATAAATAA